TGGTCGCCGCTGCTGGGCTGGTCGTCGATGGTGAAGGTTATGGGCTCCATCTTCTGCCTCTTCCCTGTGTCTCGGGAATCAACGATGGCGACCGGGCAGTTCTCCCTCGGTCGGGAGGCATCATCCAATCCACCGAAGATCACGTGGATGATCGGCTTGCCTGCCGGTCGGCTGCTAGTCGGTGGATCTGGGTCCCGTCGATCGTCCTGACGGCCCTGACCTGACCGATCGTCTCGTTCGGACCGATCGGAACGACGGTGGGATCGTCGACGATCTCTTCGATCGATCTCTTTGTTGCCTTCTTCTCTCCTCCCCACGCACTTGTCCAGCTTTCCCGAGCTGAGAAGCTCTTCCAATAGCTGGCGTAACTGGACACACTCCTCGGAATCATGCCCGGCGCACCTATGGTAAGCACAGTGCTTGCTTTTGTCCGGTCCGTCTCGTCCGGGATAGGGGAGCTTAATGAGGTTGCAGGATTGAGCATACTGCATGGCCTCGGCAGCGGATCGGTTCAAGGCCGTGAACGGACCAGGCCTGGTGCGGGAACGGGGACGATCATCACCCGATCGGATTTCGGCCCGGCCGGTCGGCTTACGGGATGAACTCCCGACCTCCTGCGAGCGCTTGACCGCGTTCGCCTCGCCTGCATTGGCGTAATCTGTGACCCTTCGGAGGGCCTCTTCATATGAGCTCGGGGGGTGGAGGATGAAGTCCTGGTACAGATAGCCCGACCGCAAGGATATGTGAAGCATGTGGGTGGCGGTGGCGTCGTCCATCTGCTCGACCTCCCCGACTGCGGCCTTCCACTTGACGAGGAAGTCGACCAAGCTTTCCCCCTCGAGCTGCTTGGCCTTCTCTAAGTACATATAGGACTTCTTCACCGCCTTTGAGGTGATGAATTTCCTCACGAACTTGATCGCCAAGGCGTTAAAATCTGCAATCGAGCCCGGCTGCAATGTTCGGAACCACTCGGCTGCCCGACCGGATAAAGTGGAGTAGAAAGCCCTACACATGACGGCATCTGACACGCCCATCATCGACATGTTGTGGAAGTAGTCGTTGACATGGACCTCGGGGTCCGTGCGGCCGTCATAACCTCAGTTCCCCTGGACCTGGAGGTCGAGCGGGTATGGCTGGGCCATTACGTCCGCCGTGAAGGGTGCTCTCACCAGGGTCGACTGCTCGACCCGGGGCCTGGCGGCGTGCTCGTCTCTGAACCGAGCAAATTCTTCTTGGAGGTCGCGGAGCTGCCCCCAGGTTTCGTCGAGCTCGGTTGTCTGAGCCTGAGCACCTTCCCGAGCGCGCCGTCGACGATGGGATCTTGATCCACTGTGCCCGGACGAGGCCTCCTGGCTGATTTTCATCGCCTGCTCACCTCCCGAGCGCTGGCTCGTGCCTTGAGGTCCTAGGTGGTGTCGCATGGCCGGTCGGAGGCGGTCAAACACTACTGTCCGCTCGGGTTCCTCCGCCTGGGTCTGGTAGTCCGGCTGCTCTTGCTGGGCCTGCCGTGGTGCCTCCATCGCAACTGCACCCCCCGACCCCAACCGCGAACGAGCCGAGCGTCTAGCCCGGGAAGAGGGCTGAGGCTGCGGCTCTACAGGAGCGGCTGGGTATACTGGAGGGGTGGCGGCTGGAGCCGTGAACGCAAGCGTGTACGGTGGATAGTCGACCGGTGGCGTGTAGTACATCGGTTGGCCAGGCCAGTACCCGTACGGTTGAGGAGGGACCGGGTATGGATAGTGCCCGGGGTACTGGGGCTGCTGCTAAAACCGCTGGTGCTGGAATTGCTGGCCAGTCTGATCGGGAAAGTAGTATCCCGGTTGGATGTAGTTGACCGACTGCTGGGCGGCCGGGTATGAAGTTGACGGGTGTGGTGGAGAGAGATTGAGGTTGAGGTCGGCGGCGCGACCCTGTTGGTGGGGCGACAGATGATCGGATGAGCTGGCCTCATTCGCCTGGTCGTCAGGAACGACTTCTTGTGCCCACGGATACATGGTGGGGTAGAAAAGAGAACGAGTGCTCGTCAAACGGTAGTTTGGTTGCACGGGTCCCCACAGACGACGCCAAAATGATAGTGTTAAATGCCACGTAAGCAGTAAATAACACAAGTACGACCAAGTAAAGCAAGTAAATCTTTATTGATCGGGTGAAAGGTCCTAAGTACAATCTAAATGACTGCTCGGGTACCGACTGAATGCGGTCAGGATGCTCTGATAACAGTCTATCAATCGTCCGAAAGATCCTCTCACTGTCGCAATGGGGGGTATTTATAGGCGCGGCGCCGGAGACACAATCCGGGCTTTCCGGCCAGCCCGACACGTGGCGAAGCACGTGTCGTCCCCTCCGTTGCCTCGCTGGCCCTGCCAAGGGCCGACGCGTGTCTCTCCTCGTCTTCTGTCCAAGGTTCCTCGATTGGGAAATGAACATGTCGATCTAGTAAGGACTGGTCGGGAACCGACCGGGTTTCTCCTAGCAATCCCGACCTGCGATCTGTAAAAAGAGGAGGAAAGAGGTGAAGCTGCCCCGGTCGGGTAGGGCCCAGGCCGATCGGGATATCCCTATCAATATATATATATATATATATATATATATATATATATATATATATATATATATATATATATATATATATATATATATATATATATATATATATATATATTTTGATGGTTTTATTGGGACCGGATGCACCATAAACCGAATATAGGAATATAGAATAGGGATAGGAAAATAATAATTTTATTGTTAGGGGCATGAAACCCAATAAAATAAGTACAAAGCCCAAGAAACTGGCCTAAACGGCAACCTAAAGACTAATACAAGAAGATGGAGAAAACCAAACAACTTGACAAGAGGAGTATATGTGTCTCTAAGGTGTGTCTTATACAAACCACCAAACAAGTGTCCGAAGTTGTCTTCCTTATCGCCATAACCGCATCAATTGCCTCAACGACGATTGTGTGCGCTGCAGTACCAGCGTGCGCCCAATCGTCCAGATTGGACGTTGCCACCCTGCGCGTGCCACCACGTCGCTAGAGTGCTCCAGGGCCCCGGGTGGTGAGCGCGCCTCTTGGCGACCTCGCCGGTGCCCCCACGACCACCAGCGCCGGCCATCACCTTGCACCCCTGACGACATACCACGCCTCGCCATGCCACCATGCAATCATCCGCTACCCGCCATGCAACTATCTACCACCATGCGGCTATGCGACCACCCACTACCATCCGTCATGCGACCACCCACCACCATACATGCCATCCCTCAACTTGCATTAGCACGTCTTCATCACCATAGCCTAAGAAGGCACCAGAGAAGGCGGGGTTTCTTTTTTTTTTTTTTTTTTTCTTTTTTAATTTTGAATTAATTAATTATTATTTAAACCTAATAAATGTGATTTAATTAAGGTGGTGCAAATAGCATTTTGACCACTCATTAGGCTATTTGCACCACCTATGTATTTATTATGGGAAATTCTATTTACACCACCTATTTTGCTATTTGCACCACCTATTTAGTAGGTCAAATAGCTTTATAGGTGGTGTAAATGCAAATTTGCTATTTACACCACTAGTACTAAATATGGTCAAAGATTATTATTTGTTTTTCATTTTTTTTTAAATTAAAAATATTAAAATTAAAAAAAAAAAAAAAAAAAAAAAAAAAAAAAAAAAAAAAAAAAAAAAACAAACAAACCTCCCGTCACCTTCTCTGGTGAGAAGGTAGGGACTGCCTTCTCACCGGAGAAGGCAACTGGGCTGCCTTCTCCAGTGAGAAGGCACCCCAGTGGGTTGTTAAAAAAAAAAAAAAAAAAAAAAAAAAAAAAAAAAAAAAAACGAAGGAAATCATCGCCTTCTCCGATGAGAAGGCGATGGACATGCCTTCTCACTGGAGAAGGCAACCCAAGGGTCGAGTATAGCAACACCCTAATGTTATTTAAACCACTTATTTACCAATAATGTATGTGCCATAAATGTTTTTGTTACTTGATATATATAATTGTATATCTTTAAATTAACTAACTCCATCATTATGAATTGAAGCATGTGCTTCATCTCAACTAAAAGCCTAGCCCCCTCACGTGTGAGGGGTGGATTCCAAGCAACACGTGAACCGTAGTCGCTTATGGGTGGCGGTGAGATTCGAACCCATGACCTTTGGTCTGGCTCTGATACCAAATTGAAGCATATGCTCCATCTCAACTAAAAGCCTAAGCTAATAGTTAGATTGCACATTAATGGCTCAAACCGAGGGCGGCAGTGATGGATTGCCATACGTCCCTCGAAGTATTGCGACCAACGACCAAGTACATCACTTCCTCCGTCATAGATGAGATGAGGAGAGAAAGGATGGACTGGTCTTGCTGAGTCCAAAGCCGGTGCGCTGGACTTTCTTCTGATGCGGTGGTGGTGGCGCCGGAAGCCGAGTCGCCGGCCGGTGTGGTGATAAAAGGTGGCGGACATGGGATGTCACCGTCCACATAGCCGAGTAGGCCTTGTCCCCGGAGGAAGGGAACGAGTTGAGTGCGCCAGAACAGGTAGTTCCAAGCGGTGAGTTTTATGGAGACAAAATGGTGGGCTGTGGCTAAGGTGTTTGGAGTGGTGGTGGATGTCGGATTGCCGGCGCTGACAGTTCTCTCCGACGAGTGAGTCGACATCGGATCAACGGAATTCGACGATAGGGAGAGAGTGAAATTAGGAGGATCTAACCTACGGCTTAGCTGATACCAGATGAATGTAATTGAAACTGTAATTCAATCAATGGAACAGTTACAGAGATAGAGACTAATACTAGAGATATATGTTACACGTAAAAGTCTCCTAACAAATAGACTTGTACTCTGCTGACTATTCCTATGCCACATATAATACCTTATTACAATAGGAAATAATAATATTCTAATTATATTATTCACAGTATATAATGTCAATATGTCATGATAAATAATAAAAGATTTTACAGGAAAAAAAAATGATATATATTCTTCATATTTTTTGACTAATTTTGAATAATCTAATTACATACAAAAGAATGAATATATGATATAGAATAAAAATATTACAGCATGAATCACGAAAATATATGTAAAAATTAAAGTGTAAAAAGTATTATACGTGACAATTTCACACAACACTTATTCTCTATGTAATTTAGCTTTAATCTCTTTCCACTTTGGAAGGTTTATCCGCCTCTTTCTCCCCTATTTCTTCCGACAATTTCACTTTATCATTAACTTCTTGAACCTGTATTTAGGTTTGAGAAAATATGAATTTTAGTCCATTGATTATAGTACATGTATCAATTTTAGTCTTTGACTATTAAAATTTTCAAATTAAATACATGACTATTCAATTTGTATCATAGTTGGTCCCTGACTATTAACATTTTCAAATTAGGTACATGAATACTCAATTTGTATCATATGTAGTCTTACCGTTAAATTTTCTGGCCAAATCACCAATGACGGGCTAATTTATTTAATTTTTATTTTAAAAATTTTTAAATTAAAAAACTTATTAAAAAAACAAAACAAAACAAAAACGCCGGCAACCCCCACCCCCTCTTCCTTCGTCTCTGGCAGAGACGAAGAAGTCGGGTTGGGTGGTCGTCGTTTTTTTTTTCTATTTTTTTAAGGTTTTTAATTTAAAAATTACGGAGTATTAAAATAATTTTTAAAATAAAAATTAAATAAATTAACTGGTCATCGATGACTTAGCTGGAAATTTGACCGGAAAATTTTTTCCAAATCAAGTTGGAAAACTCAGATTAGGTTATTATAAAAATGTAATAAAATTAGGCTAACCTTATCAATGAAATCTCCTAATGCTTCAGCACTCTTGTCAACCTTTTCTGCCACATTCTCAATAGAGCGTACCGTTTCTCTGAATTTCCCCGCCGATAGATCTTCGGCGACGTTTCCTGCCACCTTGTCCACCACCTCCGCCGTTCTCTCTACTCTGTCTACTATTTCTTCTACCGTGTACAAAGCTTTTTCTGCCCTATCTATACAACCAAACAATATAATTATTTTACAAAATAATTATTTAGAAATTTTCATAAGGAAAAAACGACATATTTACCTATGAATTATAGCGGTATACTCGGTTTTATCCTTCAATTATAGACGCACCGTATTTTCATCCTCAGTTATTGTCTTTAAAGTAGTTAATTTTATCAACCCTTAACAAAACTATTTGATAATGACAAACTAGTGAAAAAAAACTAAAATTAAAATTCAAAGGACTTTTATGTAATTTAAATTGTTAGTGAAATGGCCATGCCAAGTAGACAACTCATTAGACTATTAAGAGTTTAATTAAAAGGAGTAATTTAAAATTATGTAAAAGTTCTTTAAATTTTACACTTTTGGGTCCCTCTATTAATTATATGATATGCAGTGTTGCAAAAATTCTGCCTAGGCGCCGACTAATTCGCGCTTAGGCATTAGGCACACCATAATCAGTTATCTAAGAGGCTAATTAGCTATTGTTCTTTTTTATAATGAGTTTTTTTTACTCAAAATGACATCGTTTTGAGCGAAATAACCCTAAATTATTCAAACTCTAGATTTTTTAGTTAATATTTAATACTTTAGTATTAATTATTAAAATATTAAATAGTTATAATTATTAGTCTTAAAAAATTTTAAACATATCTTTAAAAAATAAAAAATAAAAAAAAAAATACATAGGCACCCATTAATCGCCACCTAGACGCTAGCTAGTGCCTCGGGCGCCCGAGGAGGGCCTAGACCTAGCAATTTCTTGAACCATGATTATATGTTTAGAATTGGATAAAATTAGCCTTTAAGAATAATTAAAGAGTTAAATGCAATGTGCTTATAATTGATTGGAAAAAAAAAAAAAAAAAAAAAAGTAAAATGTCATTTTCTCTTTTCATAAAATATATAATTAAAGAATTATTAAAGATGTCCAATGCAAATAAGGATTAGTCTAAGTATAATACGGGTTAATAGGTGTCTTCTACACTTAGAACCTGCTCAGGACACCATCTGACCGAAAAAAAAAAAAAAAAAAAAAAAAAAAAAAACTGCTAAAGATTCATGAATTACCAACCACTTTTTGGACCAAAAAAAAAATTAGACATGTGTTCTAATTTAAACATATATGCCCTATATATATAGGTTTCTAATAACTTTTGAATGATCGAAGATTTTAAAATTTTCCGGTGTGAAACATTTTTAATTATAAGCACATTGCATTTTTTAATGGCTCTTACTTTTGAGTTGCATTAACGACCCTCGTTTCCGATACAAAAGTGGGAGAATTACTGAGATCAGAATTCCCAAAATCCAGCCATGTCTGCATAGAGCAACAAAGAATATGTTCTTTAACCTAGCAGAAAGAAAGAGAGATTGAAAGAATTTGCAAAATCATGATAAACTATTATATTTATATTTCTTCATTTTCTGGGTAAGATATTTACAAATACTCTTAAGCAAAAAAAAAAAAAATCATAATGGATTTCAACTTACAAATTGGAACTCTTTGAATTGTTAGGAGGTCCAGGAGGCAATGGAAGTCCCGGCTCAACACATTTGCACTTCCTACATAATAATAATATTCATAAATCATAAACACTAAAACATTAATTAATTAATTAATCAATCATAAGAGACAATCTTATAATGGTCAGAAAAAGGAAGAATATGATAACATGAACAATTTCATTAAGCTTTATTAATAAAACAATAGCTTGACTCTCCATCTGTGATAACATTCGATAAGTCTCTAACTAGAAAACAAATTTAAAAAATACATATATTGAACCGAACTAATTACCGAGCAATTCTGAAATTGCTTTGCAACTGCTTGCTGGTTCGTGGAGTGGACAATCTTAGATGCAGAGCTCCACCAAAACGTTGGCAAACGTTGTTTTTTGAGGTTTTGAGGTTATGGTTAGAGGAGAGAAAGCCATTAAAAGTAGTGGGTGAAAGAAGTGGTGTTGTCATTGAGGCTTATACAAAAAGTTGTTCCAACAAGGTTTTGAGGGCTTTTTGAAATGTGGTATGAAATTCTTTTCTTGGCAAGAAATTTAAGAAAGAGGGTTAAGTATTTGTATAAATTAGGTAGGGAAGAAAGGATTAGAATGTTTGGTAGGATAGGCAAATGGCACATGTGAGCTATTCACTTTTCCAATATTTCTTTCTATAATACTTTGTTTGGGTACAAATGTCTATACTAATTCATTCAACTCTCTAATTCATGTCCATATGTTCTAGCTGTACACAGAAGCCACATATAGTGAATATGATATGATATGAAGCACAAAAACAGGAATATAGAGCTACTAAGCTAAAAATGCAGCCATACTATGCAATAAGATAATGAATTATTGAAGTATGAAAACATGGAAATGAAGAGTTCTCTGATCATGTTTATCTTATAAGTCTACAAGTTTTATACACTGTTTTTTTTTTTTTGGGGTGTACCCAGGATTCCCACCGTCAGACACCGTGACTAATCCCTCGCTAAATTGTAGGCACCTCTTTTGGATGGGACAGTTGGCCTAGAGATTTAAGGTTGCTCCATAGCCAAAGCCAATGATCGAACCCTTGACCTTTGGTTAAAGATGGATGAATCCCTTCCACTCAACCACACCCCCCATGTTGTTTTATACACTGTATTGCATATGAAGAAACTCAGGAAAGTGATAGGCAAGGCTTGTTAAAGATCTTCGTGCAATTGTGATATCTTTAGAACCCTATTACAGGAATCTCCTGGAGAAGGTTCTCAGAGAATACCATATTGTTTATCCAATATGGTAGAGGGGATGTTATGGTACCATTCCCAAATCAAGTGGCGATTATTCTCAACAAAATACACACTATTTGATGTGCACGAGATATATTGACAACATTGTTTAGCTAGTTTTCGCTCATAATTCACCATATTATGTGTCTACAGGCAATCAAGAACAACTTAAAGCGGGAAAAGAAAGAAGCAAAAATGGCATTTAACAAGTTATGCTACAATGCCTGAACAGTTTCAGGTACGATAGGATATAAGAAGCGTACCCTTCGTTCCCAATACGGAAGGAAGCACACAAAATCATAGACAGGCTCTATTGTAGAGACCAAAGCAGCATTTAGCCCAACAAACGCCAGAAGTCCTGTCATAGGCCGAGCTCTGTGAGGCATCCTGCCTTGTTTATGAGCTTCCTGTAAAGACAATCTCACGCCTCTCATTCATCTCAGCTATCAGCTGTCAAATTCATATAAGTACTCATACAGCATAATATATATGAATCGTGGTTGAAAAAATCACTAGGTGCTCATCGGCACCTAGCGCCTAGGCCGCGATTAATAATCATAATCGGCGCCTGTATATTAACTATTTAATATTTTAATAGTTAATACTAAAATATTAAATATTAACCAAAGAAACATCTACAGTTTGAACAATTTAGAGTTATTTCACTCAAAACGATGTCGTTTTGAGTGAAATAACTCATTTTAGAAAGAAGGGAACAATTCCTAATCGGCCAACTAGGCGACCTAATCGGTGCCTTGGCGGCCAGCCGCCTAGACCGCCGATTAGGGTGATACGCAAGGCACCCGATCAACACTGATATGAATTATAGCAGATCAAGTATATCTATTGTCCACTCCTTCCAGGATATGCATTATTTATGGTTTATCTTGAAACAATTATATATAATTCTTTGTGGTAAACAATTATGCCTATCTAAATTTGAATTATAAGGAAACTTAGGTCTGATTATCTTTTGATCACTCGAAAATTACGGTCTCCAGAGAGATTATATGCACAATTCTATGTGGAAAATCGAAGCCCTATTATTCCCGTTTCATCTTCTCCTATCCCTTTTCTGAGCTACAAACCATGAGAGGAAACTCTATGTAACATCCAGTCTGCTAAACATTTCAAAATTGATTTCCAAAGAAAAAACATACACCAATTTCTAGTAATCCGAAAATCATCAAATAGATCAAGGATTAAGAAGAAACAAAAAGGAGAGTCTCCGGAGCAGAATGTACCTGGTGTCCAGTCGTTGCCGGAGCTCCGGCTGGTTTTGCGCGGCTGAGCGAGGGGTGGGGTTATGGTTACTGGGACTGAGTGACTGACTGCTCTTTTGGGCAATTTAAATTGTACACCCTTGTATTATCAAATGTTAGGTATTGGTCCCTGAAATCACAGGAAATTTAAATTGCATGCCCTTATATTTTTAAATGTCAGATATTGATCCCTGAAATCTAGGGGTGAGCAAAACCCGATGAACTAAGGGTGTAAATGAGCCGAACCGCTCGGTCAAAGTTCGGCTTGAGCTCGAGCTCAAATATTTTAGACTCGTGGCTCGTCTAGGGGTGAGGCTTATCCCTTTGCCCTAGATCATTTCTCCTTCTTTGTGCAGTCGTGCATCTCACTCTCTCTACTCTCTAGTCTATGTTCTCTCCTTCTCTCATCTTTACTCAACCTCAAACCCTAGACCACATCTTTGTTCTATCTCTCACGGTCTTACTCTTTGAGACGTAACTCTTGAGACTCTTCTGTATTGGTGGAAGTGAGTCCTGTTTTTTAGGGTCCATGACCATGTGATCCTGAATTTTGGCTTCGATGATTGGTGATAGTTCGAGAAATAGAGTCAATGGTGATACAATGAGAGTTTGAAGTCCTGAAGCTCTAGTTTTACTCGGAGTCTAAAACCCTCAAACTTTAGTGAGAGTTGGACAAAGAATGTATAATATAAGCCCTAGTTTTGATTTTATGTGCTGATATACACCTTTTAGTGTTTACTTTGAAAAGTGAAAACTCTGGTTATGATTTCTTAAATTTGTAAATTAAAGTTGGTATGTCGTATGTTCTAGTTTTGATTTTTTTTCTTTTTGGTAAGTTCATTAATTTCGTAAACAGTGGTGGTGGCGGTGGTCCCATTAAGTAGAACCCTAGTGTCTTCGGAGACATTCGATAAATTTGGAACGATACAAAGAAAATTATTTAGCATGACCCTTGCACAAGGATGACACGTACAAATCGAGAAACCCTAGTTCTAATTTCTTAAATTTGTCAATGAAATTTGGTATGTCATATGGCCTAGTTCTGATTTTATGTTGTGTAGTTCATTAAATTCATAAATTGTGGTGGTGGTGGTCTTGCTAAGTGGAAGCCTTAGTTCTATTTCTTAAATTTGTCAATGAAATTAGGTATGTCCTATGCCCTAGTTTTAATTTTATGTTGTAAGTTCATTAAATTCATAAATTGTGGAGGTGGTTATCTTTTAAGTGGAAGTAGTTTTGATTTCTTTAATTTGTCAATGAATTTGGTATTCCATATACCCTAGTTCTGACTTCTGATTTTATGTTGCAAGTTCATTAAATTCATAAATTGTGGTGGCGGCGGTCTAGTTAAGTGGAAGCCATAGTTCTAATTTCTTAAAATTTAAATTGAAACTTGGTATGTTATATGCCATAGTTCTAATTTTATGTTCATATGTTGTATTTCATTAATTTGTGATGATGTTGGAAGCCATAGTTATGCATTCTATTTTATGAATTTAATGCGATATAATCTAAAACTCTAGATGAAAAGTATTTTCTATTATCAAGGACATTGTAATCCAATGGTACCAAGTTGCTCTACTATGTGAGAGGTGATGGTTTGAGCTTCGGTGGAGGCGTAGTAGCTTGTATGTTTGGGTATCCCCTTCCCTTGTAATAATAATAATAATAAAAGTATAGACGGAAAGTATTATTGTATCTAGAAAGTATTACTGTATCTAGAAGTCAACCTCCTCCATTTGTCAAGTTAGGAACATTAGGTGGAAGCTCAAACTGTAGAAAGAAATACATCTCAGCAATAGGGATGATGGGTCGGGGGTCGGGGGTGGGCTATGATCACCACCCCGCCACCTTATACTGAGAACTATGGACAAATCGTAGTCATAGAAAATATATAATCAACAACTATGATTAAAAGTTAACACTTTAAATTCATGTGCCTAATTAGCAATCCAAATCACCAATAAATATCAAATAAGGAGCAAATATTTACAAGCAAAATTCCAAACTTCTATCAAAATAAGCAAGGCAGCGACAAAATAGGAGTTTATATATTATTAAACTCTTTCGTTTAAATAATAAATTATTGTTATTATTATTAAATATTAAAAAAATCCGATTGTTTTGTTAATGTTAGGTGACTTAATTTAGCAAGATAAACACGTGAAGAATATGAAAGTAGAAGCCGGGGGGTGTCGTGTTGTGCCCTGACTGACTGTGTGCACTCATGCACACTATCGTGTCCACCATGTAATACAGGCAGAAGCATCGTGTACACACTTCTATATTGCATTGTGCGCACTTATACATTATATTGTATACCCTCTAATATTGCATTATGCACACGTTCACATTAAATACACATTCACATTATGCATCACTAGCAATAACAAGGAAAACAATGATACAAAAAAAAAAAAAAAAATCAATTGATTTTCATACTTAACTAGTGCAAAAACACATCATTAGATGCAACCCACATCACAAACAAATGTACACACATTATGTACTATAGTGCACATACGCTTTACTTATACATTGCACTGCGCACACATTCACATTGAAATACACATATACACATTATGCACCACTACCAACAAGGAAAATAAAGATTAAAAGTCTCAATTGATTCACTACATTCCTAACTAGTGCACAAATACATCATTAGATGCAAACCACAACACAAAAAAATGCACAGGCATATGTACTATAGTGTACACACCCTATACTTATACATTGCATTGTGCACACTCTAAAATTTAGTGTGTAAATTCATATTGTTGTAGAAATGCACTATAGTATCTCATTGTCACTTACTCTTTTTTTTTTTCTTTTTCTTTTTCTTTTTTAAATGCTACTGACTCTATTACATTGTATAAAGAGTCCACACACCTCCACTAAGGCTCAATCTCATGACCTCCCACATGAAAGAGGTCACTACATGCCATCTGAGCACAAGTTGCTTGACACTTTTTTTTTTCTTCTTAATTTAATAACTAACTTAAGAATTTAACTTAACTATGATGATGTATCCACCAAGTGCTTGAGCCATTAGAATTTG